CTGACAGCCTACTCAATCTAAGATGCATGTTAAAAAATACTAACTGGGATTTATTCTATGAAAGTACATTAGATGACTGAATCACCAAGATAATGGATTATCTCAAGTTCTGCCCCGACATATGCTGTCCTAAACAAACACTGTTCAAACGCCTCGACCGCTTCTCGTCTCCCCATATCAAACAACTTCGCAGGCAAAAAGAAATGTTATATAAACGCAAAGATAAGTTAGGACTTAAAAAGATTAATGCTCAAATCAAATCTGAAATCAAAAATTTTAATGCTATCTATAACCAAACACTTATATCATGCGAATCTCTCATCAGCATGTGAAAATTTTTCAGTGAAATTACTGGCAAAAGTAAGCGATGTAATGTTTTCCCTCTTGTGATGTTAATGCTCTTAATCAGTCTTTTATACGCTCTCCTTCTACTGTAACTACTTCCAATGTTACTAATCATGTAGCTGATAACTTCCAGGACTTTAACACTCTTGATGTTTTAAAATGTCTTAAAACTCTTAAGCCCTCATGTAGTCTTGGCCCTGATGGTATACCTGCATATGTTCTAAAACAATGTGCAGATGCTTTATGTTCTCCTCCAACTCACATCTTAAATGCTTCTTTCTCCAAAAACGTTGTACCTGTTCCATGGAAAAACATTAAAATGGTCCCTGTCCCTAAACCTGGCAATAGCAAGAACATAAAGTCCAGACCCATTGCCATCACTTCCCCGTTTCTAAAGCTTATGGAAAAACTAGTACTTTTTGAACTTGAACCCTCCCTTAAAAGTCTTGAAAACCCCAAAAACTTTGCATAGAGACAGGGCAGAAGCACGTTAGACGCTGCAGCCGTCTTATACAACAGTATCGTCTCATCATTAGATAAAGGTGCCAAATACGTTCGCTGCACGTTTCTCGACTTCACTTCTGCTTTCGACTCTGTACCTAGATGTCTCTTGCTAAATAAGCTCTCGATGACACAAACTGAGTCCTGGGTCACAAACTGGTTGCATTCCTACTTCTCAAACAGAATGCAGTACACCGTATACAAAGGTAAATCCTCCTCTGATGTGCTCACTGAAGCTGGTGTCCCCCAAGGTACTGTACTCTCCCCACTTCTCTTTTCTCTTTCTTTCTTTCTTTCTTTCTACATGACTTACCATCTTCAAATGACATTAATTTTGTTAAATATGCTGACGACCTAACTGTATTTTTACTTGTCAAATGTCAAAATGACTGCTGCAAACTAAATGTCTTTTTCTCAGAAATCAGCCAGTGGTCCAAGGAAAATGGTCTAACCTTAAAACCCTCTAAATGCTAAACAGTCAATTTCACCTATAGGCACAAATCTGACCTAAACAAACTGGTCAGCACTCACGAGGTGTGCAATATAGATGGCACTGAAATAGAAACCAAGTCGGAAATTAAATATCTTGGCGTCATTGTATCTGCTGATCTTTCCTGGTCGTCTCATATCTTGATGATTTCTACATCAAGAAGTTAAGACATTTTCGTATAACCCAACCCTTACTCCTACAATTTGTTAACTCCCGTATTCTGCCTATTATTCTCTATTGTCCCCCCTTAGTTTTTCCAGGGCTGGCTACTGAAGAAGACTATACCTTATTGCGCAGGATGTTAAAGGTTGTCAGCAGGGTAAGCAATGTGCCGCTTAACCAGCTTGTTAACATTCTGGTGGACAGGCACATGGACTCATGTGAAAAATGGGCAAAATCCATTTTATCTGACTCACAACACCCTCTTCATACACAACTCTCCCCATGTATCTCTTCAATGAAAACCAGAAGCCTATATAGGAAACTATATGCCCGCACTAGTAAGTACAAAAACTCATCCATACCTTACTTAGCTCGTGTTCTGTGCGATAAAGAACAAAGCATTAGGCGTGATATACCTATAACTTATTAAATAGTCAGTAGAACAAATGGATCTCGTCTTTCTAACTCATATCATTTATAGGTACAACGTTTTCTTTCTTTCTTTTCCTTTTCTCTCTCTTTCTTCTGTCATGTGTAGCTTTGTTTCTTTCTTCTGCTTACGCCAGTAAATATGCTAGAACCTACTTTTCTAGCACCTTTAAACACTCTGTTCAATTTTGGCTTTGCTACCGACATGCTAATATGTTGTTGTCAAAACTAACTGAGATTACCCCTAATCTATGTAGAATTTTATTTTATTATTAATTTACTAACTGAATACAATACTGTAGTAAAATGCTGAGAATTCCTTTCTGTAAGGCGAGTACTGTTTTGGAATAAAGCTATTATCTTATCTTATCTTACTACGGAGTGCCATAGACAACACTTGTGCGACAATGCTGCATGCCAAGTAATCCACAAAGGGAAACTTACGGAAGACTTCGAAGTGAGGACAGGAGTGAGGCAAGGCTGTCTACTTTCGCCAATAATTTTCATGATTGTAGTAGATTGCATAATGTGACAGACAACGGGCAATGAGGAAACACGCGTAAAATGGATTCACACAAAAATCTTGGAGGATTTGAACTTCGCCGATGATATATGTCTGATTTCCCACAAACTGGAAGGTTAGCAAGTGAAAAGCAACAAGTTGACAGAAGAAGCATCAAACATAGGACTTCCTTCAGATGAACATAGAGAAAACAGAGGTGATAAAGATTCCTGGCAAACAACAGCAGCAACAGCAACAACAACCGATAAACAATCAGCCAGCATAAATGGGAGGAACCTGAAAGAAATAACCTCCTTTACGTACCCACCCACATGGGAAGCATCGTTTCAACTACAGGCGAGTGCAACTGACGAGGATATCAAATCAAGAGTCGGAAAAGTAAGACAAGCTTTCATTACTCTCAAATCTGCGTGGAGATCAACAGCACTCAGCATCAAAAATAAGATCCAGATTTTCAACTCCAATGTGTAGTCAGTGCTACTCAATGTACGGATGGATCAGAGACTTGCACTCCGCGTCATAAAGAGCACATCAAACAAACTACAGACCTTCATTAACAGTTGTCTTCGCCAAATAATCGAGATCATATGGCCAGCCACAAAAGATCAGCTACAGGGATCATTGTCAATGAGCGAACCAACCAACCAACACAGCAGGAACCGATTGTGAAACAAATAGGCAGGATGAAATGGAAGCGGATTGGATTGGCCATACTCTGAGAAAGGAAACCATCAAGTGAGTGACATCACTAGACAAGCCATTGGTGGAGTGGAATCAGGCTGAAAGGGAAGCGGGTGGCGAGTTGGTCGTCAGTGGAAGGGTGAGGGTGACATGGAGGAGGTCATGTGAGGAGGAGGAGGAGGAGGAGGAGATGAAAGCATGTGAGCAGACGCGTGGAGCGAGGTGAAAAAGTTGATAGAAAACAGAAGGCAATGGAGAAGCGCAGCTGAAGCCCTATGTTCCTCTAAGAATTAAAGTAAATAACAATAATAAGGTGATCAGGTAGAAAGGATCATAAAAGATGAACTCTGGGAAGAAACTCCATTTTAGTTGTCCTAGAGACGATTTCTTCATTTCTGCTTTTCTTCGAATAATGCCATTTGTTGTAGCGATATAATTTCGTTCATGAATTTTATAGACTGAGAGTGATATTGTATCAATATTTTTATTATTATTACTGTTATTATTATTGTTATCTGCAAATTATACTGATGTCAGCTATAATAATTACTCCAGCAACTTTCCATTTCTTCAGGCTGTCTTACTTCTACATCAACATAGACTCAAGTAGAATGTTCTTTTTTGATAGATTATTTCTAATCTTAACAATTTTCCAGTCCATTATGGATAAGATTTTATGGTGATCAAATCCCACAGTATTATACAGTAATTGTGATGATTGACAATTTCTATCTGTGTATTGTTTAAATACTGACTGTTGCTTGTTAATATATTTCTTATATGAATTGAATTGAATAAAAATTCCACCAAATACAAATTCCTGAATTCCTCCCTCTCTGTGTTGAATTGGTTGAATTCTTGTAATTCGGTCATCTCGAAATACTAATACTACTAGTACTACAAAAAATTACAACAATGCAACATCTGCATATGCGTCTATCATTGGCTATCCCATTTCATACAACCTTTTTTGATTATTCAGTTACTTGTCGCTTCTTGTTACCACCCATGTTCACTCGTCTGGTTTAAGCGTTGACTAAAATCTATAAACTTAGCACTAAATCCTATTAATTAATTTATGCACAGTCACACGAGAAACACAAGTTTCTTCAGAGTCAAATTAACGACTCGTCAAAGCCTACAATGCTCATAGTCTAAGATGGAATTGTGAATGACCAACTTGTCACGACTTCTTATAAGTTTTCTCTTACGCTTCTCCAGAATTATAGTGTTTGCCTCTGTGTCTCCCAACTTGACTTCAGTATTTTACCATGCAATGTTGGCGATTCAAATCACTGTGATTACAACCCTGTTATAGTTGAACTATATGCAACTTTAAAACTATTAATATTAATTTATTTATTGCCAGCATTATTTTCTCACACACAGACTTCAGATTACTGAATGTGTGATGTGTGCAAACAACAAACACAGCAACCAACTGTGTGTGTTTTCACACCCTGTTATTATATTTGTCTACATGATTAGTGTTATTTAATTGTTGTATTTTTATCTTCTAACAATCACAATCATCCATCCACCCAGCCAACCAATGAAATGCAAACATTTCATCTACCAACATAAATATTCACAAGGTTTCTACTAGAAAATCAATAAGGTGTAGAAAATACAGGGTGTTAGAAACCAACAGTATTTTAAAATATGATTTCTGATATATTTTGTGTGCAAACAAGCCTATTGTTCCCAATATCTGTATTTAGCCAATAGGATAAAGCTTAGAGAATCAATTGAAGGTTGGCTGTATGCATTTCATTTATGATAAGCTCGATTATTTGGAATTCCCTCTCTCTCTCTCTCTCTCTCTCTCTCTCTCTCTATATATATATATATATATATATATATATATATATATATATATATATATATATATACTTTTTCTCAGATGTGCAAGAAACTACATTTTTCAGGGGATAACACAGCGTTAATTATGAATTGCAATCCTGCCTTTCAGTAGACATCAAGTTTACAAGCATCTCTCATATATATGTGTATATGGCTTCTCAACTCTACTCAATTCGTTTAACTCGTGAGGATACATCAATTCCATGGGGATTTCGACTTGAAGGTGGGATAGATTTTGGTCATCCTATGAATATACAACATGTAAATCCTGGAAGTATTGCTGATTACAGTGGGCTTAGAAGTGGTGATCAAGTGATTCGTATTAATCAATCTGAAACTAAATGGATGCGTCATAATGATGCTAAAATGGAGATTATACGATCAAACAATAACTTAGAATTATTTGTTCAACGTGATGATGAAATCATAAATTCATTTGTTAATTCCAATAATATTTATACCTCATCACCAGTTCATTCTATGAGCAGATCACCAAAACCAATTTCTCCGCAATCAGTTAACCAACAGACTTCTATATGGAAGCCAAAAATTGTTTCATCTGTGCATAATGATCAATCAGGCTTTGCAACACACACAAGTCTAGAAGCTACACCGGCAAATACAGATTTATCGATTGGACTTAAACATAATGTCTCTCCTTTGCCTTTTGGGCAGTCACCACCAGCTCCAGGTGAAAATTTAATCACAAAAGTTGCCGATGGACGTTATCGTAAAATCAGTCATTCATCGTACAACTCACCGATGGGTTTATATAATCAGAAAAATCGTAACCAGACATTTGAAAGGACACTATCTAATGCTAGTGGAACAGGAAATCAGTCAATAGGTCAACCATCTGAAATATCAACACCCACACCAGCATCACCACCATCAATGTATTGTGGTTCTTGTGGCGGCTTTATCCGTGGTGTATTCATCAAAGTACAAGGTCGTGTTCCAATGCATCCTGAATGCTTGAAATGCTGTAAATGTGGTATAGGCCTAAGAAATATTGGTTATTTTTATATTAAAGAACAGCTGTACTGTGAAACACATGCAAAACAAGCTGCACCACCTCCTCAACCCGGAATGAAAGCTGTAGTCGTTTATAAATGAGGCTATATCAGTGAAAAATTAATCCCCACTCCCTTCAATATCTATCTATATTGAATAAAGTAAGTTTTGCATTTTAATTTTTCGAAGAAATAAATAACCTTAGTTTAAACAAGTCCTATAAACACACACATACACACACAAAACGAGACAGAGGCTTTTGTTGTACTAGCAGGTCTACTGAAGCATCGATATATATTTAGATTAAAACACAAACCCTCCTTAGAAAACTATATGCAGTGGAAATGCCTTTATTTTCTAAACACTTTGCATTTGTTGCCAGTTTTTTTGAAATTTCAATCCAGATAAATAAACGTAATAAATAACAATAATAATAATTATTATTGTAATAACTTTGATTACTATTATTATATTCTCTTCAAATGAACCATTGAACACATTTATATGTTTTAAATGACTAAATTACTATCTCACCACATGAGAGATGTTACTACTAGTGTACTACTTATATAATCCATGTGGAATGAAAACAGGTGCAGTCTACTATATCCCCCCCCGCACCAAACCCTGGTTTACTCTTTTTGTCCAATGATTTTTACACGCTGATATTTCAGATTGATGTGTGCGTGTGTGGATATTTTTTTTTGTTTTTCTAAATATCTGAGATGTATTACTATTATCATCGCTGAAATGGAGAAGTAGTTTTCATTTTTTTCCTCAGTTAGTCTTCATCATTTATTAATTAATAAACCATTATAATTATGTGAATATCTTTTGAAGACTTTGTGTGTTGTGTTGTATTCTCTTTTGTAACAACAGAAGAAAAGGGCCGGAAACAGATTCTCTTATTACGGAAATCAGCACGTATTTATATATATTTCATGTACATTATCATACCTTATTCAAGTAGACAAACGCAGTCTTCTGATTAGTTGTTTTCGAGATTTCTCGGAAAGTGGAGCCATCTATCTACGAATTATATTTACCAACGTTTAAGTCTGCTGTGCGATTGGTTGTTGAATCAGCCTTGCACATATTTTCTCACGGCCAATATTAGTGACCTAGACATTGACGTAGATTAATGTCTACTAATTGGCTAGCAGCCTGCTCTCACCACACAGGTACCTACCTAGTATGATTTATTGATAATATAATCTTTAAGAATGATGGAAATATTGGAAAAGGCCTACTTTAAGAAAACTACGTTTCAGGGATGCGATCAACAGAAGCGTGTGTGTGTGTGCCATTGCCTTCGTTATATCTATTGTGAACCTATGGCTCAATTTCTATCTCGTTGATTGACAATATAGAACAGGTACCATAAGTCGTCATATTTAAGGGATTTTGTATTTCCCAACAAATGAAAAACATAACGATGGTGTTTTTACTGGAGTTTCGCTATTTAATGCTGCTATTAGCTTTATTAAAAGTATTACTAGACTAGAATTTACAAAATCTCAGCTTATATATACGACAACTTAATCATATATTTCCTCAGTATGGGGCATTTTTACGCTGTCAAGTTGGCTATTTGGTAAAGAGAGCAAAACCAGGTGTAGATTGTTGCATTTCATAAGTGTGTAAAATTATAGAAAGCAGCGTGTGTTTACATAATGAAATTGCTTATCACATTCGTGTTGATTTTGTAACTTCATGGGCAGGGAGTGAGGTGTTGTAACCAGGTCAGATTTTCTGTTTTAGTCCATCATTCCTATTCACTTCAGACAATTTGGATTCCATCTGATGATATTAGATGTTCTTTGTGATTTCTGAAATGCTTTTTCTGGATGATGATTTCAATATTGTCAAAATCAATTTTGTGGCCGACCTGATTCTACGGCTAATGATTTTTTCAGACTTTTCTAGTTCAATCGGATTTCTTGGTGTGATCGAACAGATCCTCCACGGTGTTCATTTCTTTTGATTTTTCTCCGGCGATGTTTGTTCGATGTATATCGTATCACATCCCAAGCAAGTATTTTATTTTATAGACAAAATTAAGATAGAGAATCTTTATGGATTTGGTGTTTGATATGGATAGTATGTCTGATGTTTTCAAGGAAACTCTGATATCGAGCTTATTGAGTACTCTTCTGATATCTATCATCTGACGTCTGTGCTCTATATAGAATGACAACTATTGACCCCAACGACTGGCGTATGAAGCTCACTGGAGCTCACCGGCAGACGTATGGACAAAGGGCTTGTTGGATGTCCTGGATGTCTGGCCCCATTCAAAAAGGCGTATGAACCGAACTCCGGTCACCGGCTGCCAATGGATAGTGGACTCCTTACTCCACTCCTACTGCCTTGTAGGTCACACTTGGCTGTGTAAAGGCTAGAGCTGCACTCTCAAACAAAAGGCCGAGCGATGCTGGGGACATCACTCGTACCTAATTCCCATGAAACTTCATGAACTCTCTTACAAATTGCCGCGCCTGGGCAGCGATGATTCGAGACGTTCATGAAGCCGGCTCATCCTCCCGTAGGAGATAGCCGAAGTAAAGTAAAGTAAGTAAGTACCCCATATTTTCGGAATAAGTTTTCAATCATAATTTAATTTCAGTGTTGATTTCGCTGATGGAGTTCCTTGAGTAGTTATTTTTGCTTGAGAATCTCAGTAATGTTTGACATTTCTCCTTCCTTTTCTTTCTCATCCGTTAACACCAAATAGTGTACTCGTCTAAGAAGACTTCAAACAAATGATACCTTTCGCTAATAGGGTGTGATGATCCAAAGTTTAAATGTTTGTTGTTGGAGTGGGTTTTCTTACTGAATATAGATATACTAAAGTGTCTGTTTTCCATCTTCCTAACTAGGCAGTCAAGAAATGGCAATTCGCCGATGTCCAATTCTATCCAATCCCAAGGAAACTGGATTCTGGAAAATGGACTGTTTAGTTTCTTCAAGAACGAACTATGTAGATCTCGTTTTAACGCTATGAAAGTATCATCAATGTATCTTAAGCATATTTTTTGGCATGAATATGCTTGAAAAAAAAATGTTATCTTTAAATCTATTCATAAAAAGATCAGCAACTATAGGTATTTAAAAATATTTTAAATATGCTCAATCCTTAGTTCATTAGCTAATCCAAATGGAATGAGTTATTCTGTATTTTTGGTTGACATCATCAGTCCGGCTATTAAAGCTGCAGCTCACCAGCAGAATTTTTACAACCTTCCCATATTTTCCTTTTTTCCTCAAAAACTAATTACTGTTAAGTCACCTAGTGTTTAATGACAACGACATTGATGGTAGTTATGTGCTAAGATGCTTACAAAATCATAGTAGGGCATCAGAAACCTTTAAAAAAATTATCCGCAATTATGAAGTTAAGTATATATCAAATGTATGAATACTTATTTATATTTTCACCGTTATGAACAAGTCTCTGTCACCCATCGTCGAAATCACTGGCATCAGTGATCCTTTGGTATTCAGGACCCTTTTTTACTCTGGATTGTATACAAAAATTACACGCCAAGAGATAAACTGTCCAATTTACTATCGCATAATTAGAATTGGAGATTCCTGTCATCACTGAATTATAGAACTCCATTCCACTGCACTTGATTTTCACATAGTAGAAGGTAATTTGTGAACTACTGTAATCTCACGCCCCCCGTAGATTGACAGCAATTTTAGGCGATCGCCTTCTTTTTACTTTGAATACTATAAAAATAGGTCAGATATGTTTCGCCTTTCTCAAAACTTCGAAATGAAAGTTTTCTGTCATAGACTCCCGCTCTCTCTCTCTCTAAGATATATATATGTGTGTATACGACGTTGTGCTCTCAATGTCATAAAGGAAGAGAAAGGAAAAAAACGTAAAGAAAATTGTGCAGCATCTACGACAACTCTTCAAAAATAAACATATATAGAAATATCAAACCGATTGGGTCACAAATCCCAAACCTATATGGACGCGTAAAAATACACAAACCAGGAGCGCCGTTAAGACCCATACTCTCTATGATAAACTCATCATACCACAGATTAGCACAGTGGCTATGTGAACTGTTGCAGCCCGTGCTGAAACGTTTCGGAACACATATAGTCTCTGGTTCATTTCAATTTGTCAATCAAATTACAGATTTCAATGTATCCGATAAGCTTTTGGTCTCTTTCGATGTTACCTCCCTTTTCACAAATGTGCCAGTCGTTGGGACTATCGACTTCATATGTAAAGAAGCTGAAGACATACCCATTCCAACATCGGAATTGAGAAAATTACTACTTTTATGTACTAAAAATGTCCAATTCCAATTCAACGGGCATCTGTTCCGTCAAGCTGATGGTGTCGCAATGGGAAGCCCTTTGGGACCACTTTTCGCCGACTTATTCTTGTCACACCTAGAAACCGGTACTTTGCAGCAACATATACAAGAAACAAATGTATACCTAAGATATGTTGATGACATTTTTATTGTCTGTGAAAGCAGATCAAAAGTGGAAGACATGTTGATAAAATTCAATTCATGCCATCCAAATCTCAATTTCACAGTAGAACACGAGGAAAACGATACTATTAAATTCCTAGACGTTTTTCTAGCCAAAATGAATGATGGCACAATCGAAAGATCTATATTTAGAAAGTCTTCATGGACAGGACAGTACATGCATTTCAAGAGCTTTGTTCCAATCCAGCACAAAAAGAACCTAGTCAGAACACTGTTCAATAGAGCACGAAAAATTTGTTCTGACAGTACTATGTAACATGAAATAAAATCTCTGAAAGATATTTTATCTAAGAATGGAGATATCCTGAGAAGTTCATTAATAAATACTCGAAAGGAATGAGCCCTCAACAAAACGATCCAAACAGTTCGAAAGAAATCTGTCTATATCAATTTGCCATTCAAAGGAGATGACGTACAGGAAGTAGTGAAACGAAGACTCGACAAAGCCATCAAGAGAACTTATTATGCTGCAAAACTTGTTATCCCTAACACCACCAAGCGAGTGCTTCAACAATCTGGGAAAGACCAGTCGCCAATCCTCGACACTTCAAACTGCATATATCAGTTTGAATGTGTTTGTGGCAGCAAATACATAGGTCGTACGGAAAGGTGATTGTCTACTCGCATGATGGAGCATTTGCCAAAATGGTTGAAAACAGCTGAGTGCAAAGTGCCAAAATCCTCAATAACAAAACATCTTGTAGATTACGGACATGATATCGACGCGGTCAAGTCATTCACCATCGTCAGCAAACAAAGAAACAAGAAGATGCTTGCAATTGCAGAGGCTTGTGCAATTCGAATTTACAAACCAGCTCTCTGTATACAAAAGGAGATGGTCGTGACTCTGAATCTACGATGGTAATACGTTTTACTTATTATTCTCTACTTGTTATTACTATTATTCTACCTCTTCTTATTATTATTTTTGTTATTATTAATATCATTATTATTATTCTTGATTCATTTAAAACTATGCTTTATCAGTATGATTATCCTAATTCACTCCAACACTATTAAAATTGTTATTATAACTATTACTATTGATATTAGTCTGTTTGCAATTCTCGTTATATTCTCTAATGACTAATTGTTTATCTAAGTGATGTAATTGAAGCGTAATGCAATTTATCTTAATTTCGATCTCTCATACTCTCTCTCCCCTTATCTATTTGAACATGTCCTGGAAAACATTCACACCTGTCTTTCTGCATGACTAATTGAATGTAGATTATTTACTTATCAGTCTTATATCTCCCAATTTAATTTCAAAAGTATATATATCCGTGTATGGAGAGTATTCAGCTGACGAGTTCTACCGAAATTTGATGAATTCATTAAATCATCCTGCTTTATTAACCTTTATTGCTTGTTTTAAGGAAGAAAGGGTTAGAAATTTCATAAGGTTAAGATTGTTAGAAGAAATACCACTTCTGAGTAAATATATCAACCCCTCTTAATCTGTAATATACTGCAGTACGTTTTTTGTAATGATATGTCTCCACATGATGTGTGTTTTGTTTTTGACAGTCTCTATTATATTTTGCTATGTGTATATCGATCGATATTCCACTATAACTGACATTATGCTTTTGTCGGTCCACTAACTAAATAAACAATGCATGACCTTGTTGTCACATGACATTACAACCAATCATGGTAAGACGTTATCTTATTGGTTCATGTGTATTAGTAGCCATTTTCATATATACTCTTGCTTGCTTTATCATTCTTGTTTATTCTTGTTCCCACGTTTCGTACACTACGTACCATTTCACTCATACTCTTGTGTGAAATTTATTTTCCTTGTCTGGAAAATACAAGTATTACAAGTATCATCGTAAACCTGGTGGTCTTCTGATTTCCGTGTTTCCGCGTCAGGACTATTAACTACTCGACGAGTACATAACATAGTTGGCGACGGGGAAAACTCTAATAACTCACTCAGCAGCAGTACATAACAAAACTGGTAAAAAGGGAAGGTTGGGTATGAGGCGGCTACCAACCCTATCCCTCAAAAATAAACACCACTGCTAGTGAAATTTCAAAGCTCTAGTTCAATTCCCTATTCTCCACTGGGGACGTAAAAAGGAGTATTTTAATGTTAATTAACGGTCTTCTGAGTCTATATCGAATATAATATCTTCATTTACTTTCTCATTATATTTGCGCCTTGAGTACTTGATTGTTTCGCCTCAATAGTTCCACGTTGATAATCTTCTCTGCCTGACTTACCTAATCTTCCCTATGGAGCGAAAGTGGTAGATATTGATGAAGTCTGCAGTAACCTACTGGGGACGCTTTCGCTTATGCATCATACATCAAGAATATGAGGTATAAAGTCTCATTGAATTGACATTTAGTGTTGACAATTCAGATCTCGTTCTTTGTGAGGGGGGGAGTGATACAGATTTCCACAAGTTATTTATCAGATTAATGAAAGTGTCAGAGTCTAACTTCCTCGACTCTGTATCGTTTTTAATATCCTTATCCGTGCCAGCCCCATGTAGTTGAAACGATGGTGCCTAGCTGACTCAGTCAGTGAAAGAGGTGATTTTGTGGTGTCTGACGTTTCTTGTTGATAATGGATGGCCAACTTCATCACCACTCTAATCGCCATATTCACTTGAATTCCTGTCTTCTCTGCTGTCTGTCTTTTCAGCCAAATCGTTGGGTTTTTGTTCGGATGACTTTAATGCATGCGATCACTCCTTCCTTATATCACTTGGTCATGACAATATTGTTAACTTTGCCACCCGTCTTGGTAAAACACTGGATCTAGTATTTATCAATGATGTTGGTATATATGAAGCTCGCAAACGTGCTCCTTTACTTAATTCTGACCACTGCATCATACGTGTACTGCCTAAAATATATTCCAAATCACACAAAGGTGTCCTCTCTCACCTCTACAGTAAAGTTCAACGGAGATGCTACTCAAAAGACAACCTAGACAAGCTCAGATGCATGTTGAAAGACACTAACTGGGACTTATTTACAGAACAAACATTAGATGAAACAATCACAAACACTACCGATTATCTTAAATTCTGTTTCGAAATATGTTGTCCTAAAGAAACATTATTCATTCGATTTGATCGCTTATCTTCGCCATATCTCAAAAAGCTACGTAGAAATAAAGAACTGTTGTTCAAAACTAATGATAAGCCTGGTGTAAAAAAGTTAAACATGCTGATAAAACTGGAAATAAAAAGACTAAATGTTTTATATAATCAAAGATTTTTGTCATGTAAAACCCCTTCTAATTTATGGAAACTTTTCAAAGAAATTACTAACGGTAAGCGATGTATTTCTGTTCCATCTCTTAATGTTGACACTCTTAATAAATCTTTCATACGCTCTTCTGTTGATACCCTTCCAAATGATACAAATCATATTGACAATAACTTTAGTGGTTTTAATACCCTTGATGTGCTTAAATGTCTCCGGTCTCTTAAGCCTTCTCAAAGCCTTGGTCCTGACGGCATACCTGCCATTGTCCTCAGGAATTGTGCTGATATTTTGTGTTATCCTCTTACTAACATTTTTAATGCCTCTTTTTCCGGTAACGTTCTACCTTTTGCATGGAAAAACATTAAAATTATCCCTATACCAAAACCATCTTCTGGTTCTGATATTAAATTTCGGCCTATTGCAATTACTTCCCCCTTTTTAAAATTGATGGAAAAATTACTTTTACTTCGTCTTGAACCCGCTTTGAAACCTTTTAATGATCCTAAACAATTTGCATACAAACATGGTAGAAGTACCTTGGATGCTGCGGTTGTCTTATATCACAATGTTGTCTCTTGTTTAGACAAAGGTGCTAAATATGTTCGTAGTGCTTTCTTAGACTACACATCTGCTTTTGACTCTGTACCTAGGGGCCTTTTATTAAATAAGCTATCGTTGACACAAACAGGATCCTGGGCTAAGAGTTGGTTGCATTCCTATTTTTCTGATAGAATGCAGTATACTGTATATAACGGCAAATCTTCTTCTACCTCGCTTACAAAATCCGGTGTTCCACAAGGTGCTGTCCTCTCTCCTTTTCTTTTTTCTTTCTTCCTACATGACCTACCTCATTCAAACGAAACTAACTTTGTCAAATATGCAGATGATCTGACTGTATCACTGCCTATCACTTCCGAGTCTGACAGCTCCAAACTTAATAGCTTTCTGTTGGACATCAACAACTGGTCCAAGTCAAATGGTCTTATATTAAATCCTTCCAAATGTCAGGTGCTTGACTTTACTTTCAAGCATCGACGTGACTTACTTGAACTAGTTAACTCTCATGATCCCTGTAGCATAGATGGCACGGAAATTGAAACCAAATCAAGCATTAAATACCTTGGATTAGTTTTTTCCTCTGACCTTTCATGGTCATCCCATATCTTATCTATCTCTAAGAAAATGTTTCGTCTTACCTTCTACATTAAAAAGTTAAGACAATCAGGTATCAACCAACCTTTAGTTTTGCAATTTTTAAACTCCTGTATTTTACCTATTGTACTCTATTGCTCTCCATTAATCTTTCCTGGGCTTCTCAAAAAAGATTATATCATATTACGAAGAGTATTAAATGCTGTGAGTAGAGCTTGTGGTCTGCCACTGCATGAGCTCGCTAATACTATAGTCGAGAGGCATATAAATTCCTGTACGAAATGGGCAAAGGCTATAATGTCAGACCCTCTGCACCCCCTTTATTCACACCTGTCCCCTTGTATCTCATCAGGTAGGACGAGAAGTCAATATAAAAAGATATATGCTCGTACTACTAAGTATAGAAATTCTACAATACCCTATTTAGCGCGTACTTTATGTGACGAAGACTCTGTTAGACGTGAAACTTACAAGTTACTATGTAATTAGCACAGTGAATCGACCCTTTTATCGTTTCATCTTTCTGTATTTTATGGTGTCACACTTTCTATCGTTTAAATCGTTACTCTGCTATTTTATTTTTAGTTGGTATTACTATTATTACTACAATTTTGTACTTTATACATATTTTTCTCCGTATGGCACACAGTATTTTGCTACGTAGCTGCTATAACAATCGTTTTATTACTATTATGTAATGTGTATTTTTAATTTTTTTTGTCGTTTTTGAGTAAATTAGATGCAATATTGTACTGAAATGCTGAAAATTCCTTGCTGTATCATGAGTACTGTTTTTGGAATAAAGCTATTATTATTATTATTATTATTATTATTATGTAACTACATTCGAGCCTTGGTATTTGATGGAAACCCAACCGACTCTCCACAGTTTATAAAAGAGTTTGAGCTCATGTTGAGTGGTTTTTTATTAAATGATGAAATGAAGTTGATGTATTTGTTGAGGTATTCCACTGGACTTGCTTCAAGAGTTGTACAGTGCTGTAATTTTATAAAGCCAAATGAAAGATACTATGAGCCTATAAGTATACTGCGTCAAAGATTCGGAAGACCTTCGATGATTGTAAGAAATGTATTCGAGGCTGTTAAAGGTAATGGTAGTCAATTACAAGAGGACTCCAAGGTACCCTCTGATTTTTCGGATAATCTGATAACTTACAAGAATACGCTGATTTCGATGAATTGCATGAGCGATCTGAACTCAAGTTCAGTCCTAGAGGTAATAGCGAGACGCCTACCAACTCGACTGCAAAGGAAGTGGGTGAAGACAAGCTCTCGTATAGAGGATGAATGTTTAGAGGCAGTGTTCGAAGACATACTGAGATTAGTGACAGATAATGTTAATCAGACTATGAGTACATTCGCCAGTAAATTGCATCCGGATTTTGCAAATTAGAGGTCAGCGAGCAAAAAGCAATCATTTGTGAGGAAAGGGTCACAGAGAAGTGGATATGGAGAAAGCTTTATGGTGTCTAGTAATCCATATAAACTTAGTGAGTGTAACAGCTTTCGTGGGACATCCCCAACAGATAGGTCACAAGTTGCGAGACAAACACGCTTGTGTTTTACAATTTTTCAAGAAGTGCATACAAAGGTGAACAGTGAAGAAGTGAACAAGTTTAGTGGTAAGCTAAATTCGAAGTCAGCGTCACCTAGGTATGACTCCGCAAATTTACAAGGTATTACTAGTCAGAGTAAAAGTATAAAACCTTTAGGGATTTGTGAGGAAGAACCCAAATCATTTACTTCTGTTAATAAAGAGTTTGAAAATGATGAAGTCGACCAGATAAACGGCGGTAAAGTGAATATTTGTGACAATGATCATGATAGTGCATATTTGTCTCTGGCTGATCATGACGAGATGAGTGGAATGCCTACTGCTACTGAGTAAGACAAAGGTTCTGTACAACTTGAACGTGAATTAGAACTAAGAGTAGATGCGGTGGTAGAAGGTATGGATAGTCGTGAGACCGTCAGTGTGAATGATCAGCATGTAGCCCACCTATCAACGGATGTTAGTACTAAACTAGAGCTAATCATAAAAGATAGCAGTAGTGGTAATCTTGCAGTTAGACAACCTTCTAAAAGCCGAACAACAACAGCTTCTGATGCACCACTGAGTTCATCGACTTGTATCACTCAGTCGTCGTTGGTGTTGTCATCCACAATGACAGAGACGTCCATGAGCTCAAGTGTCTTGTGCTATGACTGTGCTAGTATCGGCGCATTTGAAAAGAAAGATATTGGTCAGTTTAGTGAGGATAAGCCAAATGTAAACGAGAGGGTAATTGTTAAACTGGCTTGTACGAATATAGGCCTTTCAAGTTTAAGGTTACTATTAGAATGCTATTATCTTTGTTGTAAATTACACTGTGTCTACGCTTGGTTGGTCAGATACGTCGTGTGTTTGTTAGTCATCTATGTTCTACGATACAATGACGTGGGCGTGTCACCGTTCAGAGTTGAGGATATAGATGAGGGAAGAAGGTCAGCAAATTATCTAGACGACGATTTTCCAACCTAGAGCGTCAACCTGAGAGGGGTTGTAGGCGTACGGTTGGAAGTCCTACAATTCTTCGAGGTTAGTACGTCAAAGCTCACCCCATCGTACTTGGTGTTATTTTGTAATAATGTTCATGTTGTATATACTGAATTGGTATCATCTCTCATCTATCCGTTTTGTTAATTTTGTTTGTGTCCGGGCGTCTTTTCGATTGGATCGTCAACCTGAGAAGGAATGTAGGCGTACTGCTGTAATTCCTACAGTTCTTCAAGGGTAGCTCGTCATTCCAGAATCCACAACATTTGATGTATTGATTGTACATATGTTTGTGTTAAGTAATTCAGTGGGTTCCAATTAATGGAATTGTTGGTTTATTTTATAGTTGTCGCATCGTGTGAATCATCCTGTAATTTTGTTGCAAATACTTCTGACGTCGTTTCAAGTATTCTGAACTGGTGAACGAATCGATTAGTGTTGGTATCAGTGTATGCGATTGGATACTCTGGGAAGGGGATTGTGCCAGAGCGATATGAAGCAACCAACACCCCGTGGATCAGATCAGTGGTGGCACTGTCGATAGAGAGCGAAGGAAATTTCCGATCACTGAGGAAGATCATGCACACCGGGGAGAGCCTCCTGGTGTAAGCTGGTTGTGTGTTGGGCATTTTTGTCTTTCATTTCCATTTTAGCCTAGTCCCGGTTGGCCTAGGTTCCCGCATTGGCAGTTCAGTACAAGGGTATCGGTACTATAGAAAAAAGATATGGACCCATTTTGCCGGGGAGTGTCAATGAACGTGAACATTGAACGTTTGTTTTTGGAACTGGTAGCCATTGGTGGGCAACTCGAAGGCGCAAATGGTTCGATCGTGTACAAGTTCGACGAAGACGATCAGAAACGAATAAAAGTGCATAATAAATTTGTAATAAAAATTTGTTTATAGATTTCTACTGTTCTCCACTCTAATTGCCAAACAACATAACTTCCTTCTTACAATACTTGTGTTTTGGAGTCAAAGTCGAAGAAACTACATAGTATTTAACGGTTCGGAGCGTCTTCGTAACAATAGGAACATAGGAACAGTTCCTTAACAACCAGCACGTCCTCTTCTTCTATGTTTAAAATGTGTGTTTCCTAGAGATTTTACTATTCTGTCATTGAGGTCAGATGGTATCCAGATCTCGGTAACTAACTGAATGCATACAAAGTGCGAGCAAGGAGTGAAGGCACGAAGTTTTGTCACAGATAAAACGAGAATTTACAAGAAACAGATGAAAAGATCTTTCATTGGTGGTAACGACTGAGGCCAAGTGAAAGAGATGATGGCGTGATATCACTAGGTTTAGATGAAAATTAGATGACAGACTGGCCAGTGCATCGAGCGTACAGTACGTAAAGATTTCATCGTTTTCATTGAGGTCTTGAGAAAAGGAAGAAACTGTAGATACACCTGATCGCTCAGTCCACGAGAGCATGGTGATGGGCATACGCAAACTGCGGTATCCTGGATGTCTGAAAAGGGCAGATTTCAAGGTAAGGAGACACATTGCTCGGCATTAGGTCGATTGATAGCACTACTGTTGAGTGCGGAAAAGAGAGGAAATGATGAGGAGAGAGACTAGTTGGAGCGTTGTAAAGATGGTTTTGGTGTTGGTGGTAGTATGTTTGCGGAGTAGTAGCATTTACTGGATGGATCTCCAAGCACACTGTGCTGAAAGTTTGGTCGAATAAGTCCACGCGACTGTGCGCCAGGAATGTGGGCATAGTTAAAGCCGGTATTACGCCGCATGGAAGTAAAAGTTGGGTAACTGTAACTAGTATTTAAACGGTAAGGATAAAGGAAGCAGAAAGGTTGATTATTCTCAGTTGCATTTGATACCTTAGACATCCTTTCAAGAGATTTAAGCGTTTTAGTAGTAGAGGATGCTGAATCAGACTTGATAGTACACACAAGGCACAGGAATTCCGTCCCTTACATTTTTTTCTCAAAATCTTGGGTTTAGATGGGAGGGTATTACAAGGGTTTTCGATACTTTTAGTATGGCACGCAATCGTTTGCAGATACAATAGGACTCTGGTATTTCACATGGCTTTAAAATTGCTCTTTATTGTCTTAATGTTGGCAGTGTCGGGCACATTGGAAAGATGGCACTATACATTCAGTGAACACGCTTTATCAGTTCCGTGAAAATATGATAATAATTTTCTCACAAGACTATAATGTATCGTAGTCAGGGTAATCAGCATGTTGAACCAGATATCTACGAGGTAAGAGATCATGAACTAACGGAAGAATGTATTTTCAGGTTTATTGGCTTGGGTGGATGTATATTGCGTAGATAATGAGATATTTGTTTACCAAGTACGACATTAGGTTGACGTCCTCGTGTCGTTGATGACTGATGGAAATTTTTACAATGGGAGGCTTTATCGGTATTAGTAGCGGTGGTGCTACAATCTACCTTCTGTACTGACACATGTGAACCCTGTCTAAAAGCATCCAATTGAGTAGAACTGTAACAACAGAAGACAAGGGCCAACGTGCTTGGCCTGATGCGATCTATTATACATAAACTCACTGAATAATTAATACCAATTTAGTAGAATATTAGTTATCTTTACTGCTATATAGGTCTCAACTTCATCACTTATATAAAACGTCGAAGTACACATTTAGTTCTCATGTTGTCTGTCCACGGTGTTAAATACTGGAGATTATGTTAGTCAAACTGGCTCACGTCCTTGAATTCGCCCCCGGATTGTGAACTCCTGACTGCTCAACATAGCACAGCATTTCATGGCTGTAACTTGACTTCATTTAAATGACGTTAATGTAAGTAATTGGCTAAACAGTGAAGGTCACCATAAAACCAGTTGCTAGTGCGTAGAGGTGTATGCTATCATTTTATAATGCAGAACATACAAATGTCAGTCAGTTTTGGGTGACTCTCTTGGTTGTTTTGTGATGCCTCTGAGAAGTAATTTGAGGATGTAATGTAGAATGTGCCCAGAAGATTAATTTCTCACTTCGTTTATGCTTCTATAGGATCTTATGGATTGATTCCAGACGTTTTTAAAGACAGTGTCAAATTGCTTTCTGGGCTATTTAAGGTATTTAGCTTGATCTAGAAATGAGAAGTAGTCAGGTGTGACTGCTGTAAGTCATTGATTATCCCAGCATACAAGAAGGGCGACAAGTCTTCCTGTGACAGTTATAGAGGGGTTAGCGTGACTAATATGGTATCTAAAGTTCTAATCTAGAAAATAATGCGTAGATTAAATGGTTTTCGGGAAAAACGAGATCAGGCAGGTTTTAGACCACGTAAGAGGCATACTGATCATCTCATCACTCTTCGACAGGTGGTGGAACATGAGTATATTTATGGGCGTCCAATAATTGCCATTCTACTTGGCTTGAAGTAGGAATTTGACTCTGTTGATCAAGAGGTACTATTTCACTGTCTGGTAGTGAAGGGAAGACCGAGAAAGAATATCGCACTAATCGAAGGACTTCGCTCGTACCTGAGCAGCCGTGTAAGTTGTGGGGTGTGTTGACCACTTGATTTATTAGCGAAGTTGCATCAACCTCGACGAACTGACTGCCGACGAAATCTCAGCATGAATACGAACGGCTTGTGTGGCATTTGCCAACTCACACCATCTCTGGCGTACTCGTGATATCTAACTATCGATCAAAGGATAGTTGTGGTGCACGGCAGTTGACTTTATCCTTCTTTATGGTTGTGATACATAGTCACTAAATTAGAAGTTGTGGAAAGGTTAACTGTCTTTGATCGTAGGTGTTTGTGTTCTGTCTCCCACGTCAGGTGGTATAATAAAGTGAATAATACTGAAGTTAGGCGTCGAGCATTAAGTCAGGAGCGAAAGTCAATCGCTAAGGTTGTGAAACTACATCGCGTAACGCGTCCTGGCCATCGCCTTCCTCAATAGGCAATGTTAGCTCACATAGAATCAGCTTGAAAAAAGCTAGTGGTGGTCAAATCAAACCTTGGCATCATTCCATTAAAATCTTTAGTCAGTTTGAACACGTATGGAGGTGTAGAATGCCTGGTTGGGATCCTCGGGATTCTAAGTAATTGGTAATATGGCTCGTTCTCAGTGGGCCAGATGTATTCACCCTCTGTGGCCTGCCATATCCATTAGATCCCTATTGTTTTTCTTTTACTATTCTTTCTCCCTCACATTTCTGCTTTATCGTCGTTTCAAAACTCTCTTCTCATTTTTCTTCCTTTGTGTGCTACACGGAGTGTGGCAGCTGGTAACTGCTGCACTTTTGTGCTATGCTGAAACCAGCTAGTCAGTCAGTCACTCAGTCTGGTATTTGCTTTACCTGTGACAGTAAACTGCACGTGTTTAGTTGGATTTTTCACTGAATTTTCGCCATAGAAATTTGCAC